CTACAGCAGGATAACAAAAACAACCACTTTCACAATAGCATAAGTGACTAGGTTTGTGGATTCTGGCTCGCATACATACTCGTAAGAGGACATATACCTACATACAAACATACATATATTAAATTATAGGTTTGTATACTTTGTAGTTATTCTTCGAATCTTTGTACCTTGTAGTCTATGCTCTGGTTTTAGATTTTCTTTAACTTGTTTTTGTTTTTAGAAATAGTTTTTTTGTGTTTTTACACCTGTTTGGGTTTTCCCATTCAATCTATTATTTCACTTATTGCTTTATTATACACTTTCTTGTTGAACTTTTCAATTGGCAACAACCTGCATTTGCACTTCTAATTGTCCAAGGAATTCCATACGAAAATTCAAGTTTGAAATTTCTTTTGCTGATATTTTGAGCTTCCGACGTACAAGTATGTGAGAAGAATCTATTGTATAGGCTCTTTTTATCTACTTTAAAAAAAGCAACTATATACATATATACATATGTGGAAATACATACTGTATGTTATTCTGAGCAGTCTGCTGAGGCGGATGTGAAATTTAAGAACATGAAAAAAGGGTGCCCTGTCGGTGACAGGTCCCACAGAGGTTTTGAATATCTATATCCAGATGCGGATTCCATTAAAGCTTGGGTAGCTCGTTCGTTTTAACAGTAGCTCACTCGTTTTAAGGGTATACCCCTTTTTCCTTCTGCTAAAGAAACAACAACGCCGACCTTCTTAGGGTCGATGTTTCACCGGTTTAGACTACACTTTGGCGACAGAGTGAAGATGGTTTGAGATGATGTCTACCTACCTACCTCTGATTAGGATGACAATGCCATCCGCGTAGCCCTGAACATCGAAGCCCTTGTTACTCACTAGGCAAAGAAGGCTGCCCACTACGATGGAAACAAGTAGAGGTGAGGTAGCTGCCCTAGTTGTCCTAGTATAGTATATTCTAGTCTAGTTTTAGATAAACCAATTTAGAGGTCGAGTTTTTTTAATTTCGACTTCCGGTGCTGGTATATGGCGAATGCGTGGACAGAAAATGAGAGGCTGCGTTAACAATTGACAAGAACAGTGATATGGACAGAGGCAAAGTTGCAGTCAACGACCAAGAATGATAGAATACAAGATTGCGCATTCCTGCGAGTGATGACGTCAAGATAGCAACGAATAGGAAAGAGTAATTGGAGATGGAGGAGAGAAAGAGTGTTAACTGTCAAACCATGGAGGTCGCCATATTTACATACATATAAACATCTCTGCATACATACAAACAGTTTGCTAAAATGACGTCACACGAACAACTGATTCTGTCAAATTCGCCAAGAACAAAGTAGCGGTACTGCTGATTGCGCCACCTCTCATCGTGGTCAACGACAGAGACACAGAAAAATATGAAAATACAGACAAATGTATAGATTAAGATTAAGAAGAAGAGAATGAAAGGGTGTTATGTGTAGATGAAGACAACGAAGATGCAGATAAAGGTGAAAGTGAAGGTGAAGGTGAACATGGATGGAATTTAAGATGTAGATGAAGATGAAGATAAGGAGAAGATGAAGATTTAAATTGAAGTCGTAGATGAAGAACAAGATGGAATTAGATGAAGGGGAAGGGGAAGATAAAGATGGAGTCTCACTTCTTCCACGCGTAGAGACTAAACACGCTCAGTTTTGTTTTGTTTTATTGGAGATGAAGATTGAAGCCGAAGAAGTAGAATAACACTGAGATAAAGGTGAAGATGACGACGAAGTTTCACTGGATCGTAAGCCCCCTACTGATCGGGCTGACAAGCCTTCGAATCAATCGACGCTGCAACTCTATTCAGGAACGGTATAGATTTGTCTTTATCTGCTCGGTGAAAAAGGTGAATCACGTAGGCATAATAAGACACGAGGAGTTCCGTAATTAAGAGTACAATACCAGTATGTTTAAAGAGGGCGTCCCTCTACACGGCGGTTTTCCCCGATGCCAATTAATCTCTATGTGGGCAGACTATTTCGACCAATCCGAGGAGATTTTAATGATTCGTTCCCTTAAATTTTTTTAAATTCTTTTAGTTTCATTCAAAACAAGTTTCAGTTCTCAAACTCTCTTCCACATACATACATATCCATATGCATGTACTTTTACCACCAGATCCTCTTACCTATACCCACCTACAAAGGTACCAGCATTTAGTACTTAATAAAATAATCTACTCTTTATGTTCTGCCCTGGTATGAGACATCGTTTACCATAAAAAAGGCTTCATCATCATCATCTTGCTCACACAATACGTGCTGGTGATTATCGTACTACACTCAACGCTGGTATGCCAACACACTCACACACTTTTAGGCGCTGTCAACGCTGTTGATACCAGCATTTTTTCGCTTCATACCACATATCTGGTTGCATCTTTTTGCCAGCAGCTTGGCACATGGCGTACGTGTAGGCATTTATGTTAAGCGTTTAAGTATGTAAAAGAGGTATATGAATAGTTAGTTGGCTGGCGTGCTGGAGTTGGCTTAAAAGGATTTGTTTGATGATACTTTTTCAACTACTCATCCATTTGTAAGTGATGTACTTGAGATTAGTGTTGAAGTGAGTGACACGCGAAGTAAAGTTATTAAGTAAGTTCATACCTATTTTAAAATAGTTTAGAGGACCTTGGAGTAATGAATTTTAAAGAGTGCATACATACTTATTTTTTCTCACTGTGAACTTAAGTGTAAAAGAAAGGATTTTCGAAAGAGATTTTGACTATTTAATTGACTTCTCTGGAGAAATTAAAAAAAAACGACTTAAAAACCAAAAGTGTTACCCTTACGACCTAGCGCATGATACATAGCATTAGTGTTCCTCATACGACCTGGTGCACAGAACAAAGTATCAGTGTTACCCATACGACTTGTAGGCCTATAAACGCATACATTTTCAACTTAATGAATTTATGCAATTTTACTTAAAGCAAAAGAGTTGTAGTGAATATCACTCAACATAATTGGCTTGATTAAGATCTTTACAACTAGTAGATTAGCTTCGAAAATATGCCCCATATTTGCCTCACAGCGCTATTGACAAAAGTTCGCGTAAAGTTTAACGCAATTTCTCCTGCACGATCGCCGCTCCCCCCATGCCCCGCAACAGGTGGTTCACCATCAGAACACCTCTTTACGTAGTGTCCCTCCTAATGGACCTTCGAGTCGTCTAGGTCCAAGCTCACCACCCTGCTAGTAAGTAATTGGTGGTTGACGCCAAAAAGAGGTTTATCCACTCGGAGCACAGTAGGGAAAATGAAGTTGGTCGTGGACAAATCAGCCTACAGGTCCTTTAACTCTGAACCGAGCTATAGATTGTCGCAACTATGTACTATGTACTTACGTACGAATTTATTGTATATCCAACACAAAGTGATAAAAGCATTATATATAATATTTTGACTAAGCAAAAGACAAATACCGATATATATAAGACAACGAGTATTAAAGGAAACACGAAGACATACCCGAAGGAAAATCGTATGAGAAGATCAAGGTGTGTGCAAAGAGAAACATGGATACAAATACGAGGACCAATATGAAGACGAGGACGAACACGAACAAACAGATGATTAAGAAAATGAAGACGAACCTGAACAAAAAGATGAACTCGGGGACCAATGCGAAGGATACATAGACGAGCACGACTACGTAGATAAAGTCGAGTGCGAGTACGAATAAGAAGACAGACACCATTAGAATTACCACTACAATTACCATTACAATTTCAGTTCCCATTACCATTATCATTAATATTACTATCCCCGTTGCCATTCATATTACCATTGCTATTGCAATTACCTACCATTGTCTGCCATTACCATTATCATGACCATCCTATCACCATTACTAGTACAATTACCACTACCATTACTACTACCATTACCATTAAAATTACCATTGCCATCGTCTTTACCGTTACCATTACAATTACCATTCCCATTACCGTTATCAATATTTGCCATTTATTAAGCCACGTCTGCTAACACCAGATGCCAAAATCCACGCTATGTACTGCTGCATATGCAAAAATTTCTTTAATTAAATTTATGAAATTTTCGCAAATTCACTTCTCAACTGCCATGTAATAAAAATTTCTTAAGTTATAATTTGATGGCAGTTCAAAGTATGCTCGGCTTAGTCTGATGCATCCTCCGGACAATGCTTCCGGAGTCGTTTGCTTACTCTTTTTTGCACCAATAAATATTTTTTTATGAACATACATACACGCAAACATACTGTTCTCCCCTATCACTGAGTTATTCACCATTGAAATTACAATGACCATCATGACTGCTAATATCATTACCGTTACAATTATCTTTATCACTACAGTATCTTTACCTTTACCACTACCATTAACATTACCATTATCTTTACCATTGCCATTACAATTACCCTTCCCGGTACCACTAACATTACCATTACCTGTCATTACCATTATCATGACAATCAGTACTAATACCATTACAATGACCATTATCATTACCATTATTATTACCATTATTATTACGTATGATGACAAATACGAAGACGAATACTAATACGCGGAAGTCCAGGCAGGCCAAGCTCAGAAAGCTACAACGACTAGCCTACGTGGACAGGACTTGTGCGATAAGAACAACACCAACTGCGGCTCTCGAGATATTTCTTGACTCGCCTCTCCTACATATTGTAATTGTAGTCAAGAAAGAATCTCTACTCTTTACAGCAAGACTAATCTCAGGAAAACTCTCTATGCAAAATCTTATGGAGATTCCGCAATGCTCTAGCGTTGCAGCGAATAAAATCAGGGATACCAAAAAAAAAAGCGTCTCGAAATGGCGCCTAGATCAGTGCTTGAGTTCTGGGTCACACGCTGAATAAACCAATTAAACAACCCTGCGCAGGCCTCCTATTTATACCACAAATTACAACTTATTTCGTTATTGTAATTGTTTAAAATTTATATGTACTTTAAAGGTCATTTACAGCTCTTTTTTGTTAAAATATACTCACATGCATATTACTTAAGTATGTAAATTTATAATTAAAAAAAATTAGTAGATAAAAATTAAAATTGCATTCCAAAAATACACTACATTCCTAACCGACACTAAAGGCTCCAATCAAGCGCCGCTGCAACTTTGTACAAACACACTACACTCAGTGAGTGAAGAATGCAGCTGCAGCATGCTAATGGCAGACAACCGACCGGTGCTTGTATGTTGCCGCATTTACCAAACTCGTATGCCTGCCGCCAGTCAGCTAGCCAATAGTCAACAGCCAACAGCCCAGTTGTCACTTATAGCTAGCTACATACATACATACATACATACATACTTATGTATGTTGTGACACTCTATATCGTTGGCAAATGATGTTCGGTGCGGTGCAGCAATGTTGCATTCTTATTAATCGGTTGCAGCTTCACATAGTCCTGATGATGATGCGACAGCTGTGTATTGGTCAGTAATGGAAGCGAAGTATTTGAAGTCTACGAAAAAGAATGAAAGACGAAAGGATATGTGAAGTGTGTATGCACAAAAGAGAACAGTGAACAGCAGTGCGAGTAGCAGCAGCACAGCAAAATGCATGAGGAGCATGCAAAAATGGCAGTTGCTGTTGAAATGCTGACTTTCTTGCTGCATTGCTGTCTTGCTGCTGCTATTGCTGCTCCTGCTACTGTTGTTGCTATTTTTGTTACCATTGTTGTCACATAGCTTTACCTTTGATTTGTCACGCGCTGCTTGCGCTGCCAGCAGCAATGGTGTATGCTGTTGTTGTTGCTGCTGCTGTTGGTGCTGGTGCTGGTGCTGGTGCTGGTGCGCCTGCAGCGGCGTATGTTGTTGTGATTGTGGTTGCAATTGTTGACTATGCGGCTGCAGCATCAAATGTTGTTGCAACTGTTGCTGTTGCTGTACAAATTGCTGCTGACGTTGAAGTGCGGCTGCCTCTAGGCTATTAACATGCTCCAGTTCACGCTGTTTGGCAACGTAATCATCGAAGTATGAGTGTTTGATGAGCTTTTCGCAAGACCAACGCTTGGCAGGATCCTTGTCCAGGCATTTCTGCTCAAACAGAAAAAAAAAAAAAAAAATGTCAAAGCCAGACCAGCGAAATTGTTGGTTAACTGAGTTTCGCTTTTTGTTTTGTTTCAACTGCTTCTACTACAACTCGTAATACAACTACTTTCTGCGGAAAGTGCGTGCTTTACTGTATGCACATTTGTGTGTTTACTCACCTTGAGAAAGTCAATAGTGAGCGGATTTTGTAGTGATTTAGCTGGCATTTTGTCTTCGAGCGGTTCCAGCGTTGGCGGCACCGGCAGAGTGATGCCCTAAGTGTAAAAGTAAATTGAAAATTTATATTTGATTGAAACTGTTGGGAATAAAATAGTAAAAATTTATAGTAAATAAAATAAAGTGCAGAAATTTTAAGTTAAACGGTTTTATTGAACAGAAATGTAATAATGAGGTAGTCAAAATAATAAAAACAGCTAGTGAATCCGCATGGCGTTAAAACGCCCAAAATTTTATTTCAAAGTCATACAAAGTATTCCAAAGGTTAGTCAAGGCTATAAGCGATTGCAAAACTGACGTTATTTTGTTATTTTTTTTCCTTGCAACGGGTTGGCGCATTTTCTTCCATAAGAAAAAGGAGCAAAAAGCCGACAGCATAAATAATATTAAAAATCTATGCAATTTTGCAGTAGCTTAAAACTTGTACTTTATTGTACTAAAATTTAATGGGCTACAAAACTGCATACGCAAAAAAAAAAAATTTGTAAATTTGTATTGTACCTGGGTGTAAAAAAAATTCATAACTCAAATACTTGTAGAGTGCACCCCGTAATACTAAACTTAAATATTGCGCAATAATCAGAGCTACCATTTAGATGATTAAAAATTTTTTTTTGAGATGGCATATTTTAAAAAACTGAATTTGTTTATCAAAAAATTTTTATGTGAAAAAATTTTTTATTGAAAAAATTTTCAAAATTATTTTTTCCTCGCCCCGTTCTTAAGATATTTGGAAAACTATCGAATGGGTTTGGTTTTGTTTTTGTACTGTAAAGTTTTTAAAAATTTATTAATGAAGCTCAAATTTCATATTTATTTATTATTTATCTGTCAACCCTAAAAATTTGAAATAAATCAAACACATGAAGTGTGAACCCCGTCCATTTTAGTATGGAACGTCCCATATACTTAGTTAGACCGACATGACTTTTCTAATAGGTGGCCTGCCTAAGCAAAGATATTTTTAAACTAAAGTTTTCATAAATTTTTTCAATTGACATCCATATCTTATTATTTCATAAAACTTGTTCATACAACTTGTGCACTAAATTCGACTTTTCATACACATTTTTCAAAAGTATTTTCAAACTAAAATCTTCTTAAATCTCTTTCGTCTAACATTGCGATACATATTTCAATTAACTGATGAATTTGGATGAACTTAATGAATTTTTCAAACCCGTGGCAATCGGCCTAAATACATAAATGTCAGAAACGGAGCCTTACGAACAAATTATTAAATAATTTGAATGCAACTTTTTAAGCACGTGGCAACCCTCTTCAAATATTATAAATGTTCAAACTAAAGATTTCTTAAAACTCCTTCGTTTGACACCCTTATTTAGTATTTCATATATGTTGTATATAAATTAATTAAATTCGAATTTTTAAACAGGTGACAACCCTCCTCAAAAGAAGTTTCGGGCTAAAACCTTCTCGGATATTTTTCTACGGACATTTGGGGGATTCACAAGGCATGTTAACCGTCGTAACATCTTAAGCTTAATACTTTCATGTAAAATAACGGTTAAAATCCTCTAAGGGGGGCTAATTATTATTTTTTTTATCAACTTAAAAACATATCGGTGTTGCTAGAAATCCTATAAAAACTATTTTAGTCATTAATTTACATAAAAAAATGTTATGCTTAAGATTTTACGACGGTTAATACGTCTTGTGAAACCCCTTATTGTGATACATATTTTAGTTAACTGATGAGTTTAGTGGATTTTGCTTTTTAAAACATGTGGCAACACTCCAAAATATTATTAGTGTTCAAACTAAAGATTTCTTAATACTCTTTCGTTTGACATAGTTTAATATTTAATTGTGAATTGGTTAACTAAATTCAACTTTTTAAACATGTGGCAAACCTCTACAAAATATTAACAAACTACTACCTTCTTAAAGTCTTTTCTTCTGGCGGCCATATAGTATTATATATTTCGATTACATAAGTCCTTAAATTCAAATTGAATTTAATTTTTTAAACAGGTGGCAACCCTACTACAGTTAATATAAGGAACAAAGCTGTTCAAACCCATTTCGATTGATACCCATTTTGTTATAATTGAGTTAACGTTTTAGATAATTTCAATTACATTTTTATGAGTAGCTGTTTTTCATTTCAGCAGTGCAGTGCTATTGCCTACCGAGCGGTGACCGCAATTACAGAAACTTTTTCATTTATTTTGTTTTTGATGTTAGTCAGAAACTGGGCTGAATTCGCGCACTTCTAATCACTACACTACAGCGGCCGCTAGTAGGTAGGTAGGAACCAGGTACCAGTTATCAGCACACACACCTCGTCAATATAGATCAGAGGTTCGCACACATTTTTTTTTCTCGTATACCACTTTCGAAGGTTTACTGGTCCCGATGGACCCTCTGCTGATACATATCTACCATATTTGATTACAGACTTGCAAGTTTTTATGAGAGCACTCCAATTTCAAAAACTCAGAGCGCTAGCGTTATTTACATTATCTTCACTATAAACTTGTTACATGTTTGGCTCTCTCACGAATTTGCATAAGGAGTATTTGTAAACGTGTTTATGAGTATTGATGGCATCACATTTATTTTCATTGCAAATATATGTATTTAATTAATTCAGTATCTGACGTCTAGAGAAAATAATCCATCAAATTTAGAGCATACAAAAAATGAGTTCTTCCTGCTGCTCTAAAGATAATATAACGATAAAATTTAGTTAGTGACGAAGGTTTGATGAGAAAAAGAGTCACAACGCTCTTTTATATATCTGTATGAATATATTTTGAGTTGCATGGAAGCGGCGAAATGGAGCAAACATTGAGGCGAAATACTGAGTTATAGAGAGAGTTTTTGAACCAAATTCTGAAATTCTTGAAAACTTTTCTGAGATAAGGCGTTTTTGAATCGGCTGCTTTTTGGAATTGTGACACTGTTAAAGTAAATGAGCGCTATATTCTCCAGTATACTCTTAAAGTGCGTACATACAGAAACGGTGCTAAGCCTCGTCATATGTTGTTTTTAGGTAAAAAAGAAAAAATTCCAAAGTTTTTCATTTAAAGGTTGGATTTGGAGGTAGGGTAATTTGGAATTTAATCAGATATTTAAAATTACCTTTAAAAGTAAGTATTTAAATGAATGGTTTAAAAAAATTTGAAATGCATTTTTGGGTTCTTGCAACCATGGAAATGGTTTTCTTGACTCAATAGCAAATATTTGAATTCGTCCCTTTTTTTCGCAAAATAAAACACTGTACACCGGTCGGATTCTCTGTGTACGCACGCTATACCTTTCGCTGTGCTACAGAGCTGTGCTAGTTAAGATCCTTAATTGACTTTTTTCTGCTTTTTGAGCTCCTTCTTAATAGTATTAATAATATTTGGCCTACGCCCAGGTCGTGGCCACTTGGAATGGCGGCTGCCCCTTCTATCTACTTATGTTTTTAAAGATCCATATTCTTATTGTACAATCACTTCTTCCAAATATTTATGGGTAATTTCCTCTACCCCCGCACTTACCTTGAAATATTCATTTTGTGAGAAAATCTGTATGTGCCTTGGCAGCAGGTCGCCTAACGTTTTGCGTATCAAATAAAGTTGATCTACATCGCTGCGACCGGGCCATAACGCCTCGCCGCGCACCAACTCCGCAAATAAGCAGCCAATCGCCCACACATCCACTGCGGTGCCGTATTGCGTGTCGCCGACAAGTAGCTCGGGCGCCCGATACCAACGGGTGGCCACGTAGTCTGTGTAATTCTCACCAGGACCTGCTGGTAACGTAGAAAAAAAAAGAAGAAAAATAAGTGTCAGTTACAAAAATGTATGAGAGAAATGTTGGTAAAAAAAATCATGAAGATTCTTGAGTAATGAGGTGTATGCAAAGCAAGCAGCAAAGGACGCTAAATGTAATATGCACCAAATAACAGGGGGATGTGCTGCTTTACAATTTGGGAATTTCGATGTTTTTTTTTTGTTTTTGTCACCACTCTTAGCTTTCTTTTGGCACTTTCAATGCTCGTTAGCTTAAATCTATGCTTTCCTTTGTGCACACTACTATATTTATGTATGTACGTATAAATAGTTACTCACTCAACATGCGCGCAAAACCAAAATCGCACAGCTTCACTTGTCCCTGCGCTGTCAACAGTATATTCTCCGGTTTGATATCACGATGCAGGCAACCCTGTTTGTGGCAATAGGCCACCCCCTGCAATGTCTGGTAGACGATCTGTTTGGTTAAATGCTCCGGACAGCCTTGCGGATGTCGCTCCAATTCGTGCAACACTGTCAGCTCACAGAATTCAAATACCAAATGTAAACGTCGTTTACGCCGGAATACCTCCAGTAGTGAGACCAGATTTGGATGCTTTAGATTCTGTGTATTGGTTGTGGACGACGTAGGTAAAAGAAAAAAAAAACAAACAACAAATTAGTAGGAGCTATGTAAATAAGTGAAAGCAAAGAAAAAAATTGAAATTTGAAAATTTGGCGTTGACTAAAATGTGGCGCTGTACTGCGTTGCTCGAAGATGAATGTTTCTGCCTGGCTGCAAGTGCAACTAACAGCTACCTAGCCAAGCTTGTGCGTGTGTATATGTGGAAGTACATATACATATCTCAACACTATTGCATAACTATCGTTCGTTGCTTTAGGTTTAGAGTGAACATTTGCCATCACAGCTCTTAGGTGATTTGTGTATCTTGTGAGCTTTTTGTCTTTGTTTCGAAATTTGGCTCACAGTCTGCACAAAGTGCATGAGATCTGAAACGTTTAAGCAACGATTTTTCTTACTTTTAGTGATAGCCAGTTTTGAATAGGTACATAGAAACGAGGCACAGTGGGAGGGCTGCCTATGAGTTTGAGCAATTAAAAGCTTGTAAGAATGTCCATTGAAGTTAGCTTTAAACCTTAATCTATACATGTAATAAAATTGTAGCAGGCCGATGTCTGTGAACTATAGGTTTTAAAGAAAAATTAATATGGGGGTTCTTTATTAAATCAACAAAAGCCAATTCAACAAATTTTATAGTTTTTGTCTGGTTTGTATGTTTGTACGTGCATCACTCGAAAACTAATGCACGGAATTCAATGCAGTTTTCCCCGCTGTATTGCAAGAGGTGTAACTTAAAATATAGAAAAAATAATAATTAGCGAGTTGCCACCTGTTTGAAAAGTTCAGTTTAAGTAAATTGATAGGATAAAGTAAATATTGTAGTATGGCTGCCAAAACAAACAGGTTAAAGAAGGCTTACAGATGAAAATATTTTAGTGTAAGGTTGCCACCCATTTGAAAATTTCAATTCAATTTAACTGATAAGATAAATTGAATATTGCTATATGGATATCAAACTGAAGAGGTTTAGGAAAGCTTACTGCCGAAATATTTTTGAGGAGGGTTTCCACCTGTTTGAAAAATTGTATTAAAATAAATTGTCATAATATAAATGAAATATTACAATATGGGTATCAAACAGCGCATAAATATTTATAAGGCGCAGTGAAGCACGTCAGGTATTTCCTAGTGTAATACAAATACATAGAAAAGGCTTTTATAAGTTCGAAGAAAACCTTCTTTTAAATACCTATCTAAAATATTGAATACGGAGATTGAGGCAATATATCAGGAACTACCACAAGCAAAGTGAGTAAATCCATCGCGAAATCAAGATGGTTCGGCCAAGTAACATAAACAAAAATGCGCTAATTACATCTAAGACAGCCATTAGGGCGCCCTACGACCAACCAACCACCCATTAACGTCATAGTGTTACTCAGGGAAAACTTTACCGATTGGTCTATGTACGGGTCCACTGGAGACGCTTGAAGTCGTCACTGGAAATGCCTAGCGGTACTGACCACAGTGGGAGAATATGTAGCACTTGGAATCGGAATTTAAAAAGTGGTTTAGAGGTCTTAGAAACATTTTTTAATGGACTGTATTCAAAGCAAGTATTTATTAAAAAGTCCTAATTCTTGAAAGGAACTCTTCTAGAGCTATAATTACAACGATGGAGGAGTATTCCAAACTTTAGTATACTCTGTAAGATTGGCGTTAGAAATAATAGGACAGGTCCCTTTGTAACTTTGTGTCAGAAAACCAGGGCTTATTACAAAAACATTCATAAATGTGTAAAATAAAATAAATAAAAAAAACTTATAACACTCAATGCTACATTCAGGGAAAAATATTGCTCAAATAAATTTCATGACTAGATATCGACACCTGAGTTGAAGATCGACGCATCTCAGCAGCCAGTTCGAAAACGCCCTATATCAGAAACACCATATTTCAACATTTGATTCAAGAACGCCCTATCCCAGAATTCGGTTCAAAATGCCCTATCTCAGCACATTTTTAATAAATTTTAATTTGAGATAGGGCATTTTTGAACCGAATTCTGAGATAGGGCGTTCTTCAATCAAATTCTGAAGTAGGGTGTTCTTGCAAAGTTTTCTGAGATAGGGCGTTTTCGAACTATCTGCCGAGATAGGTCGATCTTCCACTCAGCCGTCGATATAAAAAAAAAAAAAATGGCGCCAACAGCTTAAATGTTTTGCTTTTAGCAACCATAAGTACTTGCGCTTACTTTTAACAGCCGAATTTCACGTAATGCAATTTTTCTTATGGCCGGATCATCTTCGGATTCCACAAAACGTTTGACAGCTACTAAGGCGCCTGTTTCACGATCGCGACACTTATATACGACGCCATATGAACCTGTAAGAAAAATTTACCTTCCAGTTTCGGTTTAGTTTCAATGTCGATAATATCATACCTTCGCCTAGCCGACTTAATTTTTCATAGCGATCCATTTTGCTGCTACCTTGAGGCCTGAAAAGAGAAACTAAATCAGTTCGGAGGCTGTGTAATGCAATTCAAAAAATCTCGGTTGCAAATGAGAAAATTAAAATTGCTGGTTTGAACTAGCGATTCATCGTCGATGTTTTTGCAAAACCGCCTATCTTACGGCACTCAAATTTTACAACGGCTTTTCTTTGAAGGCATTGTCTTGATAGGCGGTATTTTCTTTGGTTATTATTAAAAAAATCTGTTGTTTTAATAACGATTTTACGATTTTTGTGCATAAATATCGATGCCTGGAGTTCAGGGTTATCAAATCCAATTTTTGCCCCAACGGCGATTTAGACGGTTTTGCAATTGGTCGATGGGCGGTTTTGCAGAAACATCGACGATATGTTTTTCACCTTTCCGAATACTACCGTTACATTGTAAGCTGGGATGGTTTTACCTCTATTTTAAACATCTTCGATAGAACATTCAGTTAGTCTTAATGAGATAAACTTATATAGTCATATGTGGGCGGCATCACGCCCACTTTCCAAATAATATTCCTTCTTTTCAAGGGATTGTTGTTGGTATCAATTTTGAGTAAACTAGCGTCCTTAAATTTCGAAATATCGAAGTTTCAAGCATTTCTGAAATGCTACGCCCATTTTGCAAATATTTGCAATATTCCGATTTTTCGTCGAAAACTGTTTGTAAATATTTATTGTGAGTAAATATTCTTCAGTAGTTACTAAAATATCGCAGTTTTCGTATTTCCGAAAACTACCGTTATATGGGAGGTAGGCATGGTTATTGTCCGATTTTGCCCATTATCAACACCACCCGTTCTACGTCCGAAAGAAGTACGCGCTCCCATTTCGTTAAGATATCTCAATTTTTATTCGAGTAATCGTGTGCACAGACTAACGGACGGACGGACGGTCGGACGGACAGACAGTCACCGCTCAATCGATTTCTCTTTTCATTCTGATCATTTATGTATACATATGTCTTGTGCACCAGTGCGCTCGGGTATAAAAAAATCACTTTGGTTACTTTTCTAGTTTGAATTTGGTAATATTAACCAACTTTTGGTTGAATTTTTTCTCGGCGTATGTGCTTGGCTGCGCTAATGGGTGAATACAAGTATTTTGCAAGAATGTCTTAAATAGCAAATCTAAACTGAAAACTATAAAAAAATGATGCATGTTTTAAGGTACATTTATTTAAACATATTTTATTGTTATTAAATTTTAAGGACGCCCCAGTTGTGCCAATAGTCTAGCCGGTTGTATTTGATATAAGCCTTAAAATAATCACTTAGATGTATTCAGTAATGGAAACACAGTAGTGTCATTTTTGGCACTTTCATTCACAAGGTCACTTTTGGCCGAATTCATTCAGTTTTGGCAAAATCATAAATTATAGAAATTTAGCCGGTATATAACAAACAATCATACATTAGTGATAGACTCGACAAATGAAAATCAAAATCACTTAAAAATTAGAACAAGTAAGTTTAGATCATAAAACAAAACCAACTTCAATTCTCATATAAAAATTTAAGATTATCATTAATTTATTCATGATCCAATGATCGGATGTAAACCAAATTCGTATGGGACCACCTGTGAGATAACACCTTTCCTTTAAAAAAATTTGAATTATAGAAATCGGTTAACGTGATCCAAAGATATGCGGTAACATACATAAAAAATATTCCGTCGAATTGATAACCTTTTTTTTGTGAAGTCAGTTAATAGGGACCACTATAATAATTAACTAATTAATAAAAATTTTGCAATGTAAAAAAGAATAGTCAAAACTGATCAAAATTTCGCACTGCCATTATTTCGTACATAGGTATGTATATGTGTAAACAGATCCGAATAGGTATATTTCAGTGTTTTCCCCCTTCGTAATTGGAATATTGTGTTTTTTTTTTAAATTTATTTCAAAGACAAGTACAAACCGAAGTCTTAAGCTTGTATATTGTGTTATTTTACTATGATTTTACTCTAATAATTCAATGAACTACATTAAAAATACTATTTATAAAAATACATATCGCCACTACATACGAACAAAGGCGCGCTAGTGTTTTGACCGCGAAAAAAGACTCGCAAAAAAAAAATTTTACGAAAAAAGAAGCTTAGGGAAAACTTCGGCGAAGAAAGACGCGAAACTTAGTTTATGGCGAAGAAAGACGCGTAAACATAGATTTATACCTGGCCAAGGACTGCCACTTCAGCATCATTCGTTAAATACTCTTTGGGGAATTTAAATACTGTTACACGCGCAAACTTAGTCGACCGCGAAAATAAGTTTACGGGTCTTTCTTCGCCGTCAAATGTTTTAACGCGTCTTTCTTCACCGTCAACTGTGTTATGAGTCTTTCGTCGCTGATTTTTTTTTTTGTATGCGTCTTTTTTCGCGGTAAACTTTTGAGCTTGCGCCTTTATTCCTGTCTAGTGACGATTTGTTGTTCTTTCAAATAACTGTAAAGTTCTGGAAAATAAACTATATTTTCGTTCAAAAAACTGTACCCCTCAAAAAATTAGAGAGTTCTTAAAAATTTGGGTTTTTTTTTTTAACATTACGCCGAGACACGTTAACTTAATTCTGAGTCGTATCTATTGTATGTAGATCAGGTAATTTTCCCAAAATATTTTCATTTTAAGTTTGTTTGGCGAATGCAGAGAAATTCGAACTTCAACATGAAAAATGTTATTCATACGCAGTGTTGCCATTTTAGATATGTCCGGCTAGATTTAGCGTTTTCAGCATGTTTAGGCTTTAGCTTTTTCTTAAAACTATGTAGGTTTTCTTAGCTTTTCACTTTTGCTCAAAATATTAACTGCAAATTTAAACAGCGTTAAAATGCTTTATGCGATTTTTAGTACTAAATATGGAAGGAAAAACAATTACAAATGCTGTCATGATACCCAACTTTGGCTAGGGAACTTTCCCCGGTCCGACTCATTTGGGTACCAGTCCATATTAATATAACAGCGAATCGCGTTGAGGAGAAGTTTGCTAGGAAGCGTACCCTCGAGTTGCACCGGCTAAAGAGTGTGAGTACTTTTTCTTAAGTAAGTTTAATGGGGGTTACTAAAGTATTGGTTTTCACGCGATGAGGCTAAATATCATACCGCACCGTCACTTTTTACAGAACAATGAGATGGAATCAAAACTTTGTCTTAAGCAGTCTAATGCCTGGTTTGCACTATGTCAAATTCAGTGGCATTTGTCGTCAAATAAGTGAAAACACTTTGTCAAATGAAACTAAGAAACGGTTTATCGATTGATTTAGATCAGAACAGGTCTTCAGTCGTGTACATGTGCTGCTCAACTGGCTATCTGTCTGTTTTTGGCCGATATTATAATCGGTAAAGGTATGGGATTAGGAGATGAAGTTGTGTCAAATATATGTTGACAAAATTTGTTGTCAAATTATGACATAGTGAAAACCAGCCTTAAATTTTGTGAGGCTACGAAATAAGTAGTACTGAAGTTATAGTAAAGACAAAAAATATTTGATTTGTTAATTTACTAAACTAACTAACTAACTAACTAAAGTATTGATTTAGCTTTATTCTAGGCCCATTTAGCCTTTTCTCTGAAGAAGTACTGGCAAAACTGCTCTTACGCCACGTAGGAGTAAGTAAGAGTACGGCCATGTACGATATGGCGTATGAGTAACATTATTTCCTGCTTCTATTTCATACCATAAATTTTTGGGCATTCTCATTTGACCATTAGTTTATTTATCCATTGATTTTCGGCGTTAGTTGCTTGATTTTTTCGAAAAAAAATGCCGAAAACGTACTATAATTTTAGTTTTTCCTTGTTAAAATTTGAATTTTTTTTTCATAAAAATTAAAATGAAAATTTAATCGGCATTTTTTTGTGTCATCTCAAAACTTGGGATTTTCCTGAGAGTGTTATTAAAGATATGTAAGTAACAACAAATGATTGATTTTAAATAAGATAACGGAAATATTTTAAATTACACTTAACTAAGCGAAAATAGGCTTTATAAAATGAATATTTAAATCACATTTTGATTTAATGAAATTCAGTTTCATTTTTTTTTCGAAAATAGCTTATTTTTTTTTGAGCAGTTAATAATAATAATAATAATAGATTGGCGCTTACACATATGTTAGTGTTTGGCCGAGCTTCTCCTCCAACTTGTGGCGTGCGCTTTGTTGTTGTCACACAAAGCGGAGGGACCTACAGTTTTACGCCGACTCCGAACGGCGATTGTATTTTTATGAGAAGCTGTTTTTCATGGCAGAAATATACTCGGAGGTTTGCCATTGCCTGCCGAGGGACGACCGCTGTTAAGAAAAAACCTTTTTCTAAATTTTTTGCGATATTGCTTTGACCAGGGCTTGAACCCAGGTGCTGGAGAGTGAAAGCGCGCACTGCTTACCACTACACCACGGCGGCCGAGCAGTTGGTTCGGTTCAAATGGTTAAAATTTTATTCTAAAGGATGCAGATATTGCAAAAAATTATTACAAATATCCACATGTAAAATGTTGGAAAATTAAATAGGGATGCGACGTTTTAACGAGTTTTCCTTTTGTTTGTTTAATGTTTAGTTTTTTAACTATATAAATACAAGTTTCAAACTTTGCGCAAAAATTATAAGAAATCTGCAAAATCGCATCGAAATTGCAAACTTTTTAACACGGATTTATAATAGAAATTTTTAAGTTTTAAGTTCATTTTTGCAAATTTTTCACAGATTTTCTTCCATACAAAGTATGTTGGATAATTTGTTTTTTTTGGTGTTGAAGAAAAGGCGTAATACACACCATAAATAAATGCTTAAATGAGCACAATCAACGCAAAATTAGAAAAATGTTAATAAACTTTTTTGAGGTTTGGGCAAGTCGTGAGTCTGGTCGAGTAGACAAAGACAGCAATCTCAGAATTTTGGATTGACACTCAAAATCAAAAAAACCCTAATTTTAAGTAGTATGGAGCTTACACTATGCCTAATAGGATGGCGACATTTGACTATTTTTCTTTTGTTGGTTTAATATTCATATTTTTTTTTGTATAAAAGTGTATGCAGCTCGCTATATATAACAACAACCATATAAATCCAAATTTCAAACTTTGTTCGAAAGTTAGAAGAAAACTCTACAAACTTCAACAAAATTGCGTAAAACATTTTTTAATTAGAACTAAAAAAAATCCAGTATACAGTTTTGTAGCTCATTCAATTTCATTGTTACATTGATTGATATTCGCATTTATTAAAAAAAATTTTTTTTCTAGGCTTTGTTTTCTTCCATATAAAAACGGTTCGATTCGTGGTTTGGTTCGAAGCCGGAAAAAAGCGACGGCTCGGTTGAAAAACCGGTTTGCAGCCTTGCCTTTTTCAAACAAATCTTTAGTTCTTGAAATGGCAGAGAGTGCTGGAATTTCTAGTTTATTTCTTGAGGTAATTAAAAAAAAAAAAAATGTAATTTACAGTTAAAACTTTATATCTGGCAACATGGCTTGCAAACAAAAAAGTTTTTTTTTCAAAATGTGTTACTTATGTAAATATTATTATTGTAAAAACTGTACCTTAAGCTCAAACATGGACCACGTAGCAAATTCGAACGACGCGCTGGAAATTCTTTACGTGGCAGCATTTTAGAAGGACTCATTAATTGATTTAATATATTTCAATTGAGAAATTTTGATTTGGTGGTGCGTATTTGTTCAATAAATAGTGATTGATGCGAATAGAGTAATGTGAAAAAATAGATAAATTTCAAGCGATTTTTTGTGTATATACAGCTGTAAACATTTAACTGCTGCAATAAAATGAACATAAAGTGCCTGTTGATGCGAGATGATTTCGATGAGCGCACAGCGTGGTAATGATTTGCGTAGGCAAGTTTCGTTTTTGTCTGATTAATGTTTGACCAAAAGAAAGGAAAGATGAACGCATGCAAAAAAAGTTGTACAAAAATGTTGGAAATTTTTTTTGCGTATACCCGATTAATGTTGAAAAGCGCGTCAATTTGTTTTTTTTTTTCAAATATTGCTGGTTAAGAATGCATGAAAAATGTTGTAATCCGCTTTTGCAAATTGATTCCAAGTTAATACTTTAGCTTACACATGCCAAGAGAGCGAAAACACGCTTACATATACATATAAGTACTTGTACAAGTTTAGTTAATACAACAAACACAACATATGCTGGCGGTTGTTGTTTTTTTTTCTTTTCTTCTAGTTGTTTCCTTTATGAACCCAAACAGCTGCGCGCATAAAAATCGATAATCGACTTAAATTTGTATGTAGTTTTTCGTCAGCCAAATCTTATGCATGAATCACACATGGCTTTTGGGCATTTCAATGTCGTTAATGTCAACGATTTATTTCGTACGCTCCCGAAAGGTGATTGAACTGTCCGCCGACACACGACGGTGTAGGTACTTCCGCGTATGGGCGGCGGTATACTTTATTTTTTATTTTTAATTACGCGCACACCCCCTTCACTCTCCGTTGCGTCCACTTTTACTCGCTCACTGTTGTTTGATTTGTACTGCTGCCACTTTAGCGGCGGCATGTATGCTATACCTGCCACATACTGTTGCCATAATATATTCTATAACCCATTTTAATATGTATGTGCTTTTGTGTGACTTTATTGCTATTGTCCTTTACTTAACTGTTATGTTTAATTTTTTGCTTTGTTTTGTTTGTTGCACTTGCCAGGGACGCGTATCATAGCAATCGTTGCTGTGATCGCTGAAACCACAACAAAGCGTTGCACTGTTGGGTGGGTGGGGGTCAGCGGGCATAGCAATGCAAAGTGATTTTTTATGAAGGGTGTATGGGGATAAACTTTTCGTCAAAGTGCGCAATTTTTGTGGGCAAAAGTGAAGAGGGGAGCAGAATTTGAAGGAAGTGGGTTATTAAAGTGAATTTTCCTTTTTAGAGAATGTATTTGAAAAAAGGTCATACAAATTTTTATCTATGAGACTTTAATTAAATAACTAAGAATTTTAGTATTGCTTTCAATGTGCATTAAAACAAGGGCCTTCGAAACAAAGTGTAGCAAAAGGGCAGGGATCAAGGAGCAAACAGTTTTAATCAGAGCGGGGCTGGAGTAAAGCCCTTAAATTCTTAAGAGCAACATTATAATAAATGAAGTTTGCTGTAATATTTTTATTTTTACCTCCCGAGTTTTAATTTGCTTAAAATTAGAAGGCTTATCATAGGGCATAGGTTAAGGTGCATAAAGTTACTAGATAAACTACGACCACTTTGGACAGTTAATCACTGCGTACTAAGAGCAATGTCTTCTTGGCAAACTGGAATGCCTTGTTATACCCTACTTTGGCGGCGGCTTCCAGATTAGGTAGAAAACCAGCTCCCAGGCGATTAATCCGCAGTCTGCTAAGGGTAGGACACTCGCAGCGGATATGCCCCACTGTCTCCTCCTTCGTTTTGTATCTTGTACAGATCTTATTGTTAGCCGGAGCCAGTTTAAATGCATGCTTGGAGAAAAACCGGCATCCCCTCTATCAGTTTTGTACATGGGACGACGCTGGAGTTCCCCGGAACCCAGTGTAGAAGTTCGTCACTATTGGTATGAAGAAAATTCAGAGCCGCCCTGCACTCCCCCACACTTCTAGAGGAAGTGCTGTGGGATGGCAGCACCGTTATCGCTGCCTCAATGCCTACCTTCAACAAGCCAACACTCCTCACGTCAGCCTTCGACTTCTATCGTCTGACATACTCTAGACTGATACTATTGCAGACATGAGGTTAATGCCGAAACGTAACGTTATCCAGCGTAGGTATGGTTAAAAGGTTTTTGTTTTTTTTGTCGCAACCAGCCACGAAAACACGCGTACAGAAAACAGCACTTAGACTATTTGCCGTCCTTTGTACTGTTTTCACGCCCCTTTTTTTTCTGTTTCAAATCTGTACGATCTACGAATAAACCTAAGCAGATTGTGGGGTGTCACAGAGTTCAGGTGTTCGTCTCTCAACACATCACGGCCAAATGTTCCATACCTAATTCTTGCAAAGGACAAACATAAACACAAAAAGGGCCCCGCCGTCTCATCCACTTCAAGGCAGGATGGGCCACGCGATGTGACCCGTCAGCGGTCCAACAAGCTATATGCAGTCTCATTTGCTCAATGAAAGAAAAGGATTTGACAGATCTTTCGAGTTTACAGCCAAAATGGGGTTTTCCCAATGCATCCACTCGATGCCTCTCAGTCACTGCTCAGTTTCTGATGGTGGCTTCGAAGGCTGAAGTTAGAGTGCTATAAATGGTAGCGGACCGAGGAACGAATGGTCAGATGTCACGTTAGCAGGTACTCCCGAGTGACATTGCACCCAGATTAAAGCAAGCCTATTTTAGTCGAGATTTGTATTGCCGAACTAGTTTGGAAGTAGTGAAAGGGCTAACCAACGCCTTAAACGAAGGTTTGTGGCCACTGTAGATACGTAAGCTCCCCTGCAGTGAAACCCCAAACTAGTCAGGAAAAATTCTACACTCTAAAAAAAAATTGTGTAGGTTTCCTAGCTAAAAGATAGGTTACCGATTTCCTACCTTATTATTCGCGAAATTACATGCTCGATTATTCAACGAATAGTTTGTTTAAATCTCGGTCTTTTTATAGTGTAATATGCTGCTGTTGTGTGCGTAAATTTACTACGAAAGTGTGTAAAAGCTACAAAATACAAACCTGCTGTTTCATTTCACCCTTAGAAATGTGTAAAGCCGCTAACAAAAGGGATTTTTACACAAAAAAATGTGTAAATGAGAAAAATACATATTCATCGTGTAAATTTACCAAAAAATTAAAAAAAATAAATAAAAATATACACGATTTATAGTCGCATTTTTAAACATATTTTTTAGAGTGTAGTTTACAACTAGAATTTCCTGACAGAAACCGAACTAGTTCGAAATTGACCAGACTTATACAAAGTACAAAACGATTTATTCATGCCCTGTTTTATTTGACTTCCACAGTTTAATATATTAAAGTACACAAAATATTATAACTTTTATTTGGGTATATGGTAATCAATTATACCATACCTGTTAAATAGTGATTAATATTAATAATGATTATTAATTAAAGCATGGTTTTTTTGATAACTGTTTAATGATTAAATACCGATATTACAACCCTTTTAATGATTAATAGTTAATTACTTAAACAATGTCAATTAAATCATTAATTTTAATTACATCATTATTTTGTTATTTTTGATCACTTTCAATTATTTTTGATTTTTTTTAATTACACGATTAATATAACTATTTAATGCTATTATCAATCAACAAGCCAAACTATAGACAAAATTTAAGAATATTTAATAACAGCTTGAATTATTTATTTATTTTATTCTTATCCAAATCTAAAATTTTAAACATTAATTATTACCTTTATAAATTTTTAAAACGAATAGACTGATATGTGCAAAGTTAGTGAATTTAATTTATTTTGATGAAAACTTTTATTTCTATTTTAATTCACTCAAAAATGACCTAAAGTATTCATTTTATTTTTAACTAAAATGTTTTTTTTGCATACTCAATATTTTTAAAAAAGATAAAATTATAGTATTTATTGCACCTGAAACCTTTCACTTTTGATAACACTTAATGAAAAACGCTTTTAAATTTTTGTTCGAAAGTTTGAAATATTTATGTATTTATTTTTACTTTTAATTAATACTCAAAAAATTAACACTAATTATAGGCATATCTAAGGCTGCAAAAAAAAAAATGTGTTATATATTAAAGTGTACTTAATTAAAATTTTGTTATTGTATCTATATTCATGGTTTTGGTCCTTAATTGGACTAGTATTTTTCTATCTATTTTGAACTAGTATGAGACTGGTATATTTCTATAAATGTTTATAGAAATATATATTTATATTATATTTATATAAATGTTTAAGTTTTAAGCCGATTTTTAGCAATTTTTCACGGATTTTTTTCTATGGAAGAAAACAAAAAGATTATTTAAAATCAACGCGGTCAAAGTGAAATTTGAAAAATTTCAATCAACTTTTCAAGGTTTGAACAAGTGGTGAGCCTAGTCGAGTATATAGTTTTAAAGGATTTATAACTGTCTTGAAATGTTTTCGAACTTATAAAATAAATAATTAGCTCTTATCGTAGACAGCGATTCCCCTAAAACTTATTTATTTAGAAAAATTTGAAGTCTTAAGACACTACGACGCTTAACACGCCTAATGAAACCCCTAAATACCTTAATTTTTTTATTTTGCTTTAAAAATATTTTTTTTTTCGGTAAAAATTTTGCTGAAAGTGTGCTTAATGAAATAACTCTCTAGGACACCTTAACCCTCTAGTGACCCCACAAAAGTTTTCTTCTTTTAGAGTAATATAAATTTGTTGTCGAAATTATACTTTTCGTGAGTGAGTTAATGGGTTAAAATAAAAAAAAAAATGAAATTTTCTAAAATTATAATACACATGCGTACAATTGTTTGTATCAGCACTTACAAGTTAAAAAAAAAATTATTATAATTAAGACTAGCAGAACTTCGTCCCACCCAAAATTAAATATTTGTGTTGAAACATTTTGGTCCAACATTTTCACCAACAGTTCACGTTCATGATTTTCAGTGACGCAATTATCTTCTAATAATAATAATTTGGTTGTTGCCAGAAGGCATAAATATTTCCATTGCCATCTTAAAT